GCAGCGGCTTGGCTCTGCCCCTGGCATTGCTGACGTTCATGAGCGACGGTGACCGCTTACCTTCAGGTGGGCCGTATGCTCGTCTGCCTAAAAAGGCTATAAAAAAAAAACATTACCTTTTACTGTTTTAAAGTGTACGGTGAAAGTGAAGAACAGCTGTTTTAAATATGATTCACAACAGCTTCTAGATGTTTCATTTCCAGCGTGTTCCAGATCAATGTGTTACGCTATAACTATATTCTGATGTAATATGGAGAAATAATTAATACGAAATTATATAAACAGTATGTAATGTAATTGAAATGAATGCCATACGACCGTCTCACTTATTTCTGACTCACAATAATGTGTTTTGGAATAATAACTGTTTTTGGTATGTCTTTGTGAGTTTTGTTTCAATTGACAGGAGATATTAAACATAATATGTGATGAATTCATTTGTCCAGGTTCGCCGACCGATAAAAGATAAAAGAAAAAAACACTCAATAAGACAACCCTGAGCTCATCGCGTCAGTGTGTGTGACCTCAAAGATGTCCGGTCTGTCTTAATTTCAATGACTGCCCTGTAATAAGATTATATATTTTTAACTCGATGCATTTTTTATAGCCCACGATCGACTAACAAGGCTAGCGTTCTAATTATTTAATTGGAAACAATCAAGACATTATTGATCGATGATCAGACAAGAAAAACGACAGTTTATGAATTAAAAAAAATAATAATATTTGTCGTCTACTTCAAAATAATTTAATATATCTTGGCCATGAGCATTTTGTTAAATCAATTGTAACAGTTTAATATGTAGGTAATAGTAAAAAAAAAGGAATTTTTAGCATTAGGCAGAGACTTGATTGTGCCTCTGAGATTGCTTATGTATGTGAGCAACGCTGATTGCCTACCACAAAATAGGGCCTATGCTTCAAGAGTAATAAAAAAAAACAAATATTATAATTTAAGTACAAAGGATACGAGACCAGAAGTGACTCAGCAGATTATGTCCGAAATAGACGGATGCAGGACCAATTGCAGTACGATGGCCTCGAGTAGCGAGAGATGGCAGGACATCACACAGCAACGCATCGTGAAACGCGTCAAGTCTCCAACATGACCTGATGATAACGACCGCTCTGTCAAGAGTAACAGACACGATTGAAAGAGAAGATGTAGAATAGAATGTAGATATATGTATAGATAGAATGTATCGAAAAGCGCTTTTGTATAGTCAACCCAGTTTATCTTTTTTGGTGTTTGTGGTATTTTATTTTTTTATTTTTTTTATTGCTTAGATGGGTGGACGAACTCACAGTCCACCTGGTGTTAAGTAGTTACTGGAACCCATAGACATCCACAACGTAAATGTGCCTCCCACCTTGAGATAAAGTTCTAAGATCTCAGTATATGTAGTTACAACGGCTGCCCTTCCCTTCAAACCGAAACGCATTACTTTATAGCAGCATCAACAACAGTGCTTACGTTTTGACATAAAAAAGGAAAAAAAAACAAACAAATCGAATTCAAAAAAACTTAAAATATGAGTTTATAAATACGAAAAGAATGACAGGCAATTAAATAAATAACTTCGAAGTCAAATTGGTAATATGTACGTAGAAATCATTATGAACTAGCATAACATTGTATTTAAAATAGCATAAAGTCACGTTTTCTACATAATGTTAAGCATTTTTATTTCTAAACACATAGTAGTGTATTGTGAGTGAACGATTTTTCACGGAAAATCGGCGGTTTCGTACGACAATGTGTTTTGTTAATCTAGGAGCTCGATTTGCGATATTGCAATATGTAAGTAGAAACAGTTGCAGTTTACTGGCCTTCATTTGTACCAGAAATTGTATGTGAATAATGCAACCAAATTAACAGTTATTATTCCGGACGGCCACCGCTCAGGTTTCGGCCACCACGTGTGATTTTTAGACTTCTTACTCTCGTTGAAACGTGGTGGCTCGAGTATTGCCGCAGTGGCTGTCGCGGAACGGGTGCTGGGATTGGTTCGAGGAAAATAACGAAGGCTTCAAGTATGGCGTTCACACGGTCCTCGTGGCTTGACCGGCGCAGGGCGTAGGAGCGAGTCTTTTCTTGTTCGGTTGGCGCTCTCCTCTTCTTTGGAGAGGTCTTGACTCGTCGGCTCGCTGTCTCGAACTGAATTTGCAGCGAGGTAGGCCCCTTATTTATGGTCGCCCACGCGCACTCGGCCAGCGCTATTATGAGTCCGAGCACGGTGGGCGTCTATTGTTCTCTCGGCCGCCTCGCTCGCCTATTGTTTGCCTAGTCGCTCTATTAGTCGCCCGTATTGTGACTCGCTCCTGCGTTCCCACGCCAAATTAAAGACCACGAGGACCAATCTTTATTTTCAAACAAATATTTACAAATTTACTTATATCTATTTTTAACTATCTCTATTCACATTTATTATTTCACAACATATCCGTTTATTTGGATATTCTTTATGTCTATTTATTTTCGCTGTTCTTGGCGAACATATCTCTATTTAACTATTTACGGACATTTTTCTATTATAACTAGTCCAACCTATTACTATATTTCTATTTATTTTAAACTATTTATATCCGTCGCGAACAATATCTATATTTATTCATGTCCGTCGCGAACAGTTATTTGGGGCCTAATAAAACATACCTAATTCTGATTTTTTTGAAATACATTTTCTCAATTATTTGTTAATGACAGCTAGCTAACTTATATTCTACAATACTAAAGTCGGGTTGTTAACCATCGTGTACATTTTTTTTTTTATTGCTTAGGTATGTGGACGAGCTCACAGCGCACCTGGTGTTAAGTAGTTACTGGAGCCCATAGACATCTATAACGTAAATGCGCCACACACCTTGAGATATAGTTCTAAGGTCTCAGTATTGTCACAACGGCTACCCCACCCTTCAAACCGAAACGCATTACTGCTTCACGGCAGAAATAGGCGGGGCGGTGGTACCTACCCGCGCGGACTCACAAGAGGTCCTACCACCAGTCATTACGCAAATTATAATTTTTGCGGGTTTGATTTTTATTACACGATGTTATTCCTTCACCGTGGAAGTCAATCGTGAACATTTGTTAAGTACGTATTTCATTAGAAAAATTGGTACTCGCCTGCGGGATTCGAACACCGGTGCATCGCTCGATACGAATGCACCGGACGTCTTATCCTTTAGGCCACGACGACTTTTCAAATGGAATAGAGTTTTCACGATAAAACAATCTTGAACTATGAACAAATTTAAATCAAGCAATTGTGAATATTAGCCTACAATAATAATGTATGATGACATGACAGATTAAAAATAATAACGTGTGAAAAAACCATAAACAAATGAATTATTCGTATTCAGATCCACTCTAGGTGATTTTATAAGTCGCTTCTCCGATTTTCATCAGTTTTAGGCATATTCAGAACTACTTTTACGACTGATCATCTATTTTATGACTATCATATGATCATATGACATATGATCATCTATTTTACGGACCATGTTCTGTTGGTATACATTTTATTCTGGGCTTGGCGTATATGCACTTTATACCCCTTCCATTATTACTTCTTTAGAATATTTTATTGCATCATCAATAATATTGATACAGTGGCATTAAATAAGCAAATAAATAAATACTTTGTTTTATCAGATTGTTCATAGTAAAATTATTATCAACACCCTGTGTAAATTATGCAGAAATTTTCTTTTTGTTCAACAAAAACTGTTCCATTGTTTTTCATAATATGAATATGTGCTTTGTTTTATTGTATTATGTTAACCGTTATATAGCTACAATGACGTGGCTAAGTGCGTCGTAATTATACTAATAGAAAAATATATTTAGTCATCACTTTTTTAACCCTTTTTTTATTTAGCTTAGATGGACAGCTGATGATGACAGGGCACGTTGGGCGTTCGGTGGTATCCTGAATCTTGCCACCCATCTTAATTCAATTACTATATTTATTTATTGAATATATATATACACATATATCGAGGGGTAAAGGCTATTTGGTTTAAGCGCGTATTTCGCTTAATACGCTTAATACGCCAATCTTTGTAATTAAAGTTCCGTTTTATTTGGTATTAGCATAAACAATTCGATGTTTTTAATTGAACTTCAATTATGTTAACCACATACAAATAGCTGAAGAAGACTTTTAAGTCATGACATTTTTTCCAAATTTTAAACTTTAAACAGGTTTCCTGTAAAGTTTCAAAAATGTCGCTTATACGAAACTTTCACCTCCGACATTCACCCGTCGATATTATATAAGTATATTCAATTGTATATTGATTAGTTTACTCCTACCGCACTCATATCCAATATCCAATTATGTCACTATGCTGCGGTTCAAGTTCCTCAGGTAAATACTTTTTTTAAAAGAAATACACGCGTGTTCAAAAACGTGGTGGATCATGCTACTTTAGACTAACACGTACACTACCACCAACATCTGTAATTACTAGGACGTACCAACGCTTGCACGGGTGAGAACAAAAATTCTGCTTATTGCCACTCATGCCATCGTCGCCATTGTCGTTGATCGACGGTGAATTTAAAGCGGAAACAACGAAAGCAACTATTCCAACCGTACCTAGTATCAATTACGAAAGTAATACTCCGGGACTACTATGGTGCTCGGTGACAGGGAGAGCCCAAAAGTCGCGACTTTTAGCAAATGGTACGATCCATTCGTCAATGACGATGACATTGTTGCCAAAGTAGATAATGATATGCAGAAACGCATACATACCCTGTCAACAGCGGAAAATTTTAACGACACCAAATGACTTCAAGAATACATAAAAAATTGTCACACGTCATTATTAATTGTTCTCGTGCGTATTTATTACATGATGATGAACGAGCATGGTCTCTTTTTCAATACAGTATCATTACAGTTTATTTTTCCGACGACGTTTAGAAGAAAAAGCATTCGTCACACTATTTGAACAGCTTGTTTCATTACGAACAACAACTTATAAATAATACTTAAATCAGCAGTAGCCGTGTGTGGATTCAGTGCTTTACAGTTTGTTTCAAGAGTACTTTCCTTCCACTAGTCTGATAATGGCGTTTACGAAGTTTCTTTTTGTGGTTACATTAATTACAATCGCGAGCGGTGAGTCCTCATTTTGTTCAGTTTGTGTTTCGATAACACTATTTTTCGTATTTAGGTTAATTCGATTATTTTTTTCGCCAAGCGATAAATCGACTTTACATTGCCTAATTATTAATTTCATCTAAATTCACAATGATTATTCCGGACGGCCACCGCTCAGGTTTCGGCCACCACGTGTGATTTTTAGACTTCTTACTCGTTGAAACGTGGTGGCTCGAGTATTGCCGCAGTGGCTGTCGCGGAACGGGTGCTGGGATTGGTTCGAGGAAAATAACGAAGGCTTCAAGTATGGCGTTCACACGGTCCTCGTGGCTTGACCGGCGCAGGGCGTAGGAGCGAGTCTCTTCTTCTTCGGTTGGCGCTCTCCTCTTCTTTGGAGAGGTCTGGACTCGTCGGCTCGCTGTCTCGAACTGAATTTGCGTCGTGGGGTCGTCGTACCCCCTTAGGGGGGGCACGGAGCGGGCCTCGGGGAAACCCCTCTGCCCGGACATGTAGCTCCCTGCCTAATAAGGCAGGGGTGATGCGCTGCGGGATGGTATGTAGCAGGATCGTAGTGATTGGTGGGACGACTTCTTTCTTCTCTCTTCGCTTCTTTCTTCCTCTTCTTCTTCCTCTTCTTTCTTCCTTCTTCTTCTTCTTTCTTCCCTTCTTCCGGGGGCGGCTGCTGCTCTCCTCCATAATTTTTTTTTTTTTTTTTTTTTTTTTTTTTTTTTTTTTTTTTTTTT